TAGTATTGCAAGGGAACGCAAAAGAAAAAAAAATCCCTCATGTCCCCTCGCGGGCTCCCTATCATGCTGACCAGATAATTAATCCACCAGATAATTCAGAAGCGATCTGTTCAGTGTGTTTTACTCCAGGAGCTTCGAGGCTTTCAAGCTACGTTCAGACCGAGCTCTGTTCACTGAACCTGCAGCTGCTGACGTCATTACGCTCTTGCGCGATGCTGCGTTCAGGACAAGCATGGAAAACTCACCACTCTTACKCCAATACGGTCRCAATGCTGCRTTCAGGACAAGCATGGAAAACTCACCACTCTTACGCCAATACGGTCGCAATGATGCGTTTAGGTACCGAAACAAGGTACTGTTTGATGTTACGTGAATAGGTTCTCGGTAGTACTGACAGAATTTGGTCGGTATTTAAAAATTTATCGATTTCGGTACCCATCCCTAAGCATGATTGGTCAGAACTTGGTGGGTGTTTTTGTTCTTGAGGAGGAGCTGGACCAGAGCAGGTTATTTCGTTTAAAATGATCTTTTCTCTGAAGCCAGTTGTTAAATTAGCTAGAAGAACAGCTGGTTTGATTTGTGAGTGAATGAATGTGAAGTTTTTCCTCTGCAGAATCTTCACAAAGGGATGGTCGAGTCGATGCTGAGAACACAGGTGACGTAATTTTCGTCATAAAACTGTGACAATCYGTGCCAATTTCTACAGTTTGGATGGAGTGTGAAGTAGGCTTAAGGTTGTATTTACACTAGATAGTCCGGTTGAACCTTTCAGTTCGATTAGGGACCAAAATTGCAAGATTTGTTTACATTTTCAGTTGGTGGTGTTCGCATTCACACTGCCCTTTGTTATACGGAATAAAACCTGTGAAGATCTGGAGCTCAACGTCCTTCTTCACAAAATGTAAACAAACATGGAGTGCTGACAGATATTGATGGTTGTAGGATTTATGTTTTGTTTTTGGCAAATGTGCCTTACAAATAGTCTTCAACAATGAGCATGAGTGGAAGATGAGGCACAACTGCGTGTTTTTCCACATAAGGCAGCTGAGACGGCTCCGTATGAGGCAACGTTAACCAAGAAGGAGTGCATCCAACAGTGATGTSCACCTTATACCAACAGCCACCAAAGTATTTGCAATGTATGAGTAACTTTATTGTTGTTATTACTCAGAATGACCAGCATTATAGTCCACTTCCTTCTTTTGAAGCGGTCTCTGGTCCACTTGACTTTCACACATGCAATCGGACCGCACYAGAGTTCACATAACCGAACCAAGACCTAGGTTTTCAGGCGGACCACAGTTTGCTTTTTTGGTCTGCATCAGAGTTTGATTACACTTTCACGCCTCCCCAAAKTAGTCGGGCTTTCTAGACAAACAAACTACAGTTTGATTAAAGTGGAATAACAGGGCTGGTGTGAATACACCCTGAATGAACTGAGGTGGTCAGAACATGTCATTAAGGTGATGGAGCGTCTTTTCAAAGAGCCTTTAATGTTTTATGTCCCAATTTTCCTAGCAGCCATGTGGAAATTTGGCATTGCACCTCACATGACTCATACCATCATAATTTCTATATACTGTCACCATATTTTAATACAAAATACCTTCATACAACCCAAGCCTATTGTGATTTTCCTTTAAACAAATGAGAGAGCTCACATTTCTGTACCTCTCAGTCATCTCCACTGCACCTGCGGCTGTCCAGTGGAGATCTGTGTACTTTGATTACACTCCTGATCAAAATCTTAAGACCAGTCAAAAAAGTGCAAGAATTTGCATTTTGCACTATTGGATCTTAAGAAGGTTCTAAGTAGAGCTTCACAATGTTAAAAGAAGAAATCAG